AAAAAACAAACAAAAAAAAAAAAAGAAAAAGAAGAAGAAGAAGGCAGACTGCTCAATTCAAGGAAATGGTTCTAATGAATCTATTTAGTATATTCAGCAGGACTTCAACACCTGGACGGAGTCTAAAACAGGATCGATTAGAAGTTTACTTAGAACCAAAAAGCTGTTCTCACGGCAAAAAAATACTTGATTAAAAAAGTAATTGTTAAAAAAGTAAAAAGTGAACGTTAATTGTGAAGTAAATATTCTTATCAAAGGATTTTTAAATTAAAAGTAACACGGCAGTTTGTTTTGACGCGGAAATGCTATGGTTTTTATTTGCGCGTTGACTTCTCGTTTGCACAAAGCCTAGGTTCCTTTGTGTTGTCGGTCGATTCTAAAAAGTTTGTATGTTTTTTCTCCTCTCCGATTACAACTGAATAAACACTCATTACTTTTCCATATTTATCCAGCTTAATAATATTAGCTGAGCTGTGTAGTGTCTTTTAATCGATCATTGAGACACCTCTATGACTGATATTGATATTGAAAATCTTAGCAACCCAGAGATAACGAGCAGCTGATACATATATTTATTGACACTGGAATGAGATTATGAAAAAGATTCTTTTGTAAAGTTATACGATTATTTTTTCGTCTTCCTCCCTTCCTTCCTCCCTCCCTTCCTTCCTTCCTCTCTTCCTTCCTTCCTTTCTCCCTCCCTCCCTCCCTCCCTTCCTTCCTTCCTTCCTTAATTCTCCTTCCTTCCTCCTTTTTAAACCTTCGTCCATCCTCTCTCCCTTCCTCCCCTCCCTTTTCACTTACATTTCAAGTCCTTTTAATTTCTTATAATGATAATGATAATGGGGTTCTTATATAGCGCATTATCACATTGTCTCAATGCGCTTTACATTGCAGTGGAAACCTTTATGGGCTGCATATTAAGGCGCTATTAGCAGCCGTGCAGCTTACAATCATGAGTGATTTATTAGTACGTTAGTGTTATGCCTCCAAATTGGGATAGGCTGTTGAACCGGGAGACAATCCCCTACTCTTACACGAATAAATCAACAGGTTCTTCTATGTCCCTCATTTACTGTAGGTTAGGAAGGGTTGGGAGACAGGGCCTACGGTTTTAAGTCCTTGTCCGAGAAGACTTGAAGGTCTAACCATTTGCAGATATAATTACAAATGCAGCACCTTCTCCTCAGTTATTTAAGGACCCTGAGTGTTGGTCTTTCCATTAATTCTTTTCCATTTTGCTGTTTCTCTTTTTTCCAGGATTTCCCTTCCAGAGGTGGTTGGTACGGGGTACTGTGTACTGGGTGCTGGGTAACGGGTAACCCCACCCATCCTATTCCCAAACCAATTAGTTTACAGGTCTCCATAATTCCCGCTCGTCCATGATGAAGACCTGGTTACCGAGTATATTCATTGGAACAAGATGGCGCTGTGTTGAACGAAAATGAACAAAAACACCGAGAAAAAAACATGAAAATGCTCCACTCTCGAACACTTAATAGTGAAAACTATCGCCCAAGGCTGAAGGAAAGATAATGTTCTCGTCAGGAGGGTATTTTCGTAGCGTGAATTGTCCTTTTTTTGTCCATGGTTTGTGTCATCGTCCATACTGCCACTTCAGACACGCAAAACCTGGTAAAAGCCTAATAATCTTTCTATTAAATATCACGTCAATTATCTTAACTTTACTTTATAACTTAATAAGTATTATTAAAACTCTTTTTTACAGCTTGAATTGAGAATTTTTTAAATCATATCTCATTGATACGATGAACTTCAAACTTTAATTCTTATTTACATAAATTTTAGGATTCTTGTTCTGAAAAAAAAAAACTGTTTTGTTATCTACGATCAAGTACCGTAATCAGGAGACAGCCCTCTTCGGCTATCAATAGAAGTCTGTGTTATGTCCTAAACGTTACTTTGTTGGTTTTTTCTAGATGATTTGTACTTGTGTTTATCAATTATTTAATCTATTGTTCTTATAATGTCAACCTGTCTTTCCTTTTTTTATTAAATTACTTCTCTTAGTAGAGTTCTGAAGGAGGGATGCCAATCCTATTTCCCGCCCAATTATTTTTGCAAATCACAGGGTCCAATTCCTAAACTTCTTTCTTTAAGAACATTTTCCCATTCCAGTTTTGACCTAAATCCCATTTTAATGACAAAAATCCCATTTTTCCCAGAACAATATAAGCAATCTCTAGTTAACATTTCACCCCTTCAGGATATTCCTGTTCATTATACATCGTCTTCACTATCTGAATTCTCATTGGTCAAGAACCCACAGTTAATTCTAGCTATCAGCCTGCGCCAGCAATTGTTCAGCGGTCGATGGCTATCTGTAGGCAGTTATCTGCAAAAACGAACATAGGTCAGCAGATAGCAGTCATCTGTAGGTTGTTTTTAATATATTATTTTGAAACGTTAAAAAAATAAAGTTTATTATAAAGTTGCTATCTTTGTAATATCAGTTAATCTATTTACACAATGTACTATAAAACATTTATTAAAATGAGTTTTGATGATATCTGGAATTATCAATGTCTTGGCAAATGTTATTACAGCTTCAGCCAATAACACTTACCTCGTTATTGATAATTCCTGATATCATCAAAACCTTATCCAATAATTGTTCATTAGTTGTCGGATGTAAGAAATTTTTTTCCTAGATAACATATAATTTTTCTATTTGCTTGACATTCCATAGGCTTATGCCTTTTGATAAGAAATTTTTCTGTTTTGAGACTGTTATGGAAACACTGATTGTGAAGGTGTTTTTTCGTACTTGGTAGTATTTATTAAAAATATAAATTTGATCGTTGTACGCCAAAAGATGAAGGGTTGTGCTAGTGATCAATCCCATATGTGTGTTATTTGAAATCTGTTTAAGTGTTACAAGTGAACCAATTTTGATGTTTTTCTTTTAACCCTTTTTTTAGGCCATGGGAGTACGACTAAGAATGCAGTAGTTAAAAGTTGCTTGAAATCTAAAGTTAATACTACAGGAACTAAGTGTGGAACTGAAGGTATGGTAGAATTTGCAAGGGTGGAGTAGTTGAGGGTGGCTCAACTCTGTAGTCTTATGTTCGATTCTTGGACTTAACATCAAATGTAAATCATTTCTCTTTCAGGGACTTCTTCATCGAAATCTCTAAAAAGGTCCACCAATGAAGAGTCAGTCACAAAATCTTCCCCTGATCCTAAACCCATTGTTCAAGCACAGAACAACGCAACAAAAACTAATACAAATTCACTCACAAATATAAAAGATGCAGATGAACCACCACAGTCCAAGGAATTACCAAGTTCTAAAGAAGAAAGTGAGAAAAAAGATTTACCTCGGAATTCAAAGAAAATTCCTTCATTTCTAGATTCTTTAGAGAAGATTGAACAAGCTGTGAATGAGGCATCGGAAAGTTTATTGATTCATAATAATGCAAAAGTATTAAGTTGTTCTGCGAGCAATAATCCTAAAGATTCAAAACGTTTATCTAAAAATCAATCATTAGTAAGTACTGAAAAAAATGACCAAGCAACGAAGGAGGATAGCAATAATAAAATTGAAAATAAAGGAGAAGAGATAGCAAGGGATTTACAGAGTGAGGAATGTCAAGATATCAATATTTCAACAGACAGCAATAAATCTGCAAAATGTAGTGGTATTGATGAAATATCTGTAAGCAAGGACAGAGAACTCAAGATTACTGACAATGAATTGGAGAAATTGGTTAAAGTTGATGCTAAAAAAATCTCAATGGATTCATCATGGAAAGGCATTGAGGATGTTTCTAGAGAAACTCCACCAGATGGAAAATCAAAAGACCAGAAAATCGAATCTACAGTTTTAGGAAAGAAAAGAAAGTCATCCAATATTAATAATATGGAGATGAAAAAAGCAAAGATAAAAAAGCAAAATTCACATGAGGATTCAGCTAAGCTTGAGAGAAAGGGTTCATCTTCTGATTCTAAAGACGCGAGTAAAACAGAAAAAACACATATTCCTACTTCTAACAAGAGGGATAATTGTGACAGGAAACACTCAACTTTGAAACAAAAGCAAAAAACAAATCCAGAACTTAAAGTCGTGGACCTTGATTTTTTTAGCTCTCCTAAGAAAGTGAAGTTGAGCAAAACATACTCAAAAGAGAAAACAAAAAGCAAAAAAGAACCTTCAAAAGAGGAGAGAAAAGCCCAGAATTGTCAATCGCAGCTTAAAACATTGCGAAGAAATTCAGATAGTAAACGGTCCATGAAACAAAAATTAAAACAAAATGAATCAAAGGAAAAAATTTATTCCAGGAAATCAAAAGTACATGATAACATAACTAAGGACACATCTGTTCCCTTGACAACATCATTATTTGAGAGTGACGATGAAGTAAGATTTAGCAGCGATAGTCTGAGTGGTTCCGAGTCAGACACTGATCCTGTAGACAGCAGTACAGAGATGCTGAGGGAGATATTTGACAATTATGACCCTCAAAGGGATCTACGAAATCCTTCGTCAAACACAAAAAAGGTTAAAGAATCTTCATCACGGTCATCTAGGATGCCATCTACCAGTTCTACCCCAGAAAAGGAGATGCAGCAGAAAGCTGTTGATTTACCAGGATTGGGCAAGAAACAAAGAGTTGCACATACTGCTAGTTATGTGAGTGGCATTTTATCTTAGACTAACCATTTTTATAATTTTTTATTCGTTGCATTTGCTGTTGCTGTTTTTGCTGTTGCTGTTGCTGTTGTTGCTGTTGCTGCTGCTGTTGTTGCTGTTGCTGTTACTATTGCTGTAGTTGCTGGTGCTGCTGTTGCTGCTGCAGTTGTTGTTGCTGCTGTTGTTGCTGTTGCTGTTGCTGCTGCTATTTCTGTTGCTGCTGCTGTTATTTCTGTTCTTGCTGTCAGTGCTGCTGCTTTTGCTGCTGTTGCTGTTGCTGCTGTTGCTGATGTTATTGCTGCTACTGCTGCTTATGTTGCTGTTGTCGTAGTTGGTGTTGTTGCTGCTGCTTGTTGCTGCGGTAGTTATTGCTATTTAATTCATGATATCATTTTTCATTTCATTTATTCTATTTTTTCGTTACTGAACATTTTCAGTTAGTGCAAAGAAAATCAAGTAACATCAATCCTATTCGAAGAGTTCCCAAGACAACAGCAAGCTCCTCTAGTGCATCCTCCACACAAGACCAGGTTTGTGGGAACTTGCACTGCACTACTTAGCATGTACAATATTCTGGACAGTATTCCAGCAAGCATCCTTACCCCTACATAAAAAAATTATGTTGTACATCACCCATCTCCAAATACCCTCCTCAGACCCTCCCCACCCATTGGAAATTCCAATCCCCCTCTTTTTTCTGATATGATTTCATATTTTCCACTTGTTTTAGTCAAAAGAGTACAACCTACTTCAGGGCAAGAAAAGAGTAGCTCATCAACCAAGGCCTGCCAGTCAGAGCTCCCTACCACGCCCTCGGATACCTATTGAATATGGCGCTAAAGTACCACAGAGTTTCCGTCAGAGATACCTGGATAAGATTGTCGATGAACACCTCAGACTGAGTGCCTTGGAGCAAGAAGCATTTGACAAGGTTAGACCAAGAGTGTGGATAATACTCATGGAATAAAATTTTTGTTGGTCATGATGATGATGGTGATGAAGATGATGATGGTCATGGGGATAATGATGATATAGGGATGATAATGATGATCTTGGTGACCACGACAATGATGTTGATGTTGATAATGATGTCGATAAAAATGAGGATGACAACGATAATAATGACGATGAAAATAAGAATGACAATGATAATGATGGTGAAGATGATGATGATGACAATTATGACAACCATGGATGACAATGATAATGATAGCGAAGAAGATGATGATGACAATTATAACAATCATGGATGACGATGACAATGATGTTGATGGTGATGATGGTGATAATGATGATGATGATGGTGATAACAATGATGCTAATCATTATTATTATTAATAATTTGCTACAGGCAGTGGAAGAAGAAAGGGGCTTGTATAACCGCAGTACTAGAAGACACATGTATCTAAACCTGTGTATTAATGCAATCAAGAATCTGCGCAGTCAACCAACACCTGAGCATCAACCAGAATCAACACAGCCGAATACAGCTACTGCTACAGTATCTACACGTCGTGTATCAGCAACAGCTATTGATAGTCAAAGTCCAAAGAAGATTGATGTAGACCACCTTACAGGTACATACTCTGATTATAATTTTATTTTTGATTGAAAATTGAAATAATCCTTTATTAAAAAAATATTAATTTCTTTATATGCTTATTGAATATTGAGGTTTTTATTCCATTCATTCTCTCGCTCATTTTCTATTTTTTCCCGCCCTAGTTTCTATGCATGCGTGCGTTAGTTTGTTGCTATATCCATTCGTCTGTCTCTTTTCAATCGTTTCTTCTTTCCATAAGTTAATAGGTCAGTTGCTTCATTTATATTGTCAACTTTTCTCTTCCTTTTGTTTGTTTTTTGTTTTTTTTTTTGTGCTTGCGAGGGTGCATTCATTACTCCTTCCATTCGTTATATCCTTCTTTTGTTTTGCCTGCCTGTAGACCGTTTGTTCCTTTGATTGTTTATCGTTTCGTGTTTCAGTTTCTGACGGTTTACATTATGTTTTCAGAGGAGATGTTCTACAATTTGCTTTTTCCCTACATTCTTACTGAAGAAGAACTCGTAGAAAATGGTTTTCCACGCTCTTCGCTAACAACGCCTGGAAAAGTAACCTTTAAATCGAGAAAACCTAAAACGACTCCAAGTAAAGATCGTAAGTGTTGTTTCTGAGGATTGACTTGTGGGAAAATGCTCTAGATGAAGAGTCGTCTCTTCATTTTATGTTCAAAAGGATGCAAAATTCTGTACTAAAGGACTGATAGAATTATAGTTCATAGATTAACTATGATAAAATGTTCCATCTTAGGCCTCAACTTCTGCCGATCTCATTGCATTTCAACCAACATTTTATGTGTTTCATTCTCCTTCCATTGCATTGCCCATCTTATCCATCCTATACCTCCATTGGTGTTTCCATTGTTGTCCCATCCATCTCATCCCATCCATCTCATTTCGTCCATCTCATCCCATTCATCTCATCTCATACTATTTCACGTTATTTTTCTTATTGTTTCACAGCTAACCGTCGTATCTGTTGTCGTTGCGGCACACCGTACACAGTCCTTGAAGATGGCACTTATTTCAGGCCAGAGGAATGTGTCTACCATGTTGGACGGCTACTGAAGAGAAGAAGTAAAAACATAAACGCTGTTGATCTCATACCACTCATTATTTAAATTATTATTATCATTACATTAATATTAATGTATTATTATTATTTTAGTTGCTGGTGAGGTTACCACTACCTACTCGTGTTGTGGTGGCGATGGTTCGACTCCTGGATGTGCTGTGGGCAAGGCAAGCCATAATTACATTACCTGCATGCATAAATAGGGCATTTTTTCGTACATCAGTAAATATAGGGCACACGCTCTAGCACTCCTTCACCTCCCACCTAACCTATCCCCTTCTGCCCACAGTACCTTAGTCTTCTATACCAACCAGCTCCACACTCTATTTGCGGCCCCTATTCATATCTTGTTGTGTCTAATCAAGCGCTGTGATCGGATGGCGCATTTTACTCTAGCTGATTGGTTAAGAATATGATTGTTAAATGACTGGTTGGACTACCTGTGGCATCTCTTTAGTAACGCTAACGTGTACATAAAACTTTTTTTTTTTGTGCCACAGGTTCACGTGAGTGAGGGTAAGGATGCAACTGAAGGTTTCATGACGACTATAGTCAGTCCACTAGCAGGAAACCAAAAGAAAGTATTTGCCGTTGATTGTGAGATGGTAAGTTAAACCTTCCAAAATACTGGTCATCACTGATTCTATTCATCCTAGATTATATGCACTATCAGCAGTAGACACATGCTGGAGTACTTACCTTTTATCTCTCTGCTTCTTTTAAATTCTTTTCAGCTCTTTGATATCGTGATTGATATCATGTGAATAGGCTTGATTAATGCGCAACTCGTCAATAGGTTTCGAAGTCTATGAGCCGCCATTTCCTCCAAATTATCCCATGATGGTACACGCGCAGAGTACCAGTATGTACTCACCATGAGAAAGGCGCTATTTCCCCCGAGGTATCCCATAATGCCTCATAAGTAACCATACATGATTAAACCAATGGCTTCTATTTTTCTCTTTAGTGCTATACTGTTGCTGGATTAGAATTGACGCGCGCAACTGTGGTTGACTGGAAACTGGAAAAGATTTATGATACATTCGTCAAACCGGACAATCCTGTTTTGGATTACAACACTAGGTAGGTGATTACTGCTGACAGTTCATAAAATGATCCATCTCGCTAAGGGCTTGCAGCTTCCTTGATATTTAAACCTGACAAAATGTGGTATTTAGGTTCAGCGGTGTTACGGAGGAATGCCTGCGCGGTGTCAAGACCAGCATCAGAGAAGTCCAGGCTGTACTATTGAGTATAATACACCGAGATTCGATTCTAGTGGGACACAGTCTAGAAAGCGATCTTTTGGCGCTTAAGGTAATTATATTATGGTATCCCCCAGAGATCTTACTTGGGGCCGTCGATTTTCCGATAAGTCATTTTTATTCAAATCGAAACAGATACTGGAGTCTGGACTCCAGATAAATGATCATTTTATTTATTTCTTATTCAGTTAATCCGAGCCTCGGTATTGCTTTGCGAGCAATCAATACCAGAAATTTAAAAGTAGGTTTATCGTATGCTTCAGTAGCTAAAGTAAAAATCTGACTTAACAGCTAATGTGAAATCCTTACAGCTCGTCCATAGTAAAGTAGTTGATACATCAGTGGTGTTCCCTCATCGCCTTGGACCTCCGTACAAACGAGCACTACGGACGTTAACTGCTGAGTTCTTGAAGCAAATTATACAAGATGACGGTAAGGAAAAGCTTTATTATAATTTGTGCTGTTTGGACGAAATTTCCGTGTTCCTCCTAACGATCTACGAATGGTTTGCGATAACAACCATGATGCTTTGCGCAACGATCTACAGTGCTTTGCGGTGTTGACCATGATGCTTTGCGCAACGATCCACAATATTGCTAACAACCATGGTGCTTTGCGCTGACAACCTTTATGTTCCACAATGCTTTTCGATGAAAAGCATGATGCTTTCTCTACAACCGACAATGCTTTGGTGTTGACCATGATGCTTTGCACCTAATCCACAATGTTATGAAAATATTATGCGCGTTGATAATTATGACGCTTTCCAAAATGCTTTGCGATAAAACAACCATGATACTGTCTGTGTGATGTATGAGGCTTTTGAGCTTTGCTCTGCTTCAACAAGTTAATCTTTGCGATCAAGAACGCTTCTGACCACAGCTTTTTTTTCTTCTCCTTCCTTAACACATGAAGAGGCTGGCCATGACAGCCATGAGGACGCAAAAGCAAGTCTTGAGTTGATGTTATACAAAGCTAAAGAAGACTTGAAGAAGAAGGAAAGAAACAAGAAATAATGAACGTTGATGAAGCGACAGGATCGCTGGAAGGATTTCAGTGGCAGCAAACACTACTGTTTATCAAAGAATAGAATCGACTTTGGACTAAACTTTAAGAAAACTCAACTTAGATAACCCAGAATTATTTCAGTTTTGATAGTTAAGCTGTGATTAAGTGTGAAGACAGTCGAGTTTTGGTGTTATTAATAGTACATTAGTTCGCTGTTTGAGGCAAATTCTTTATTCCAAAATACCCTTGAGCAGAAAAGTCATACTACGACCTATTTTCGAAATGTAGAAAAAGAAAAATCCAAGAGATGTTTATATAGAAATATTTAAAAGAAATTACAAGCTCTATTGTTCTCTATACTAGCGTGTAATGAAACTAGACTGTGACCATAACACTATTATGAAAGTGTTGTTTCACTTCTGTTTTCATATCATTTTCGTGTGATGTTTGCTTCCGTGTTATTTCAGCCGATCCATCCCCCGTAGGGATACGGACCAGAAAATCCTTTAGGATTTTTAGCATTTTTTCTAGTCATGGCTTGTACTCCTTCGGTCTATCAGAGACTGGGGCAGAGAGCTTTGATTGGTCTAGAGGTAAGGCGCTCTCACTATGTACCGGGAAAAAGGAATGAGGAGGGGGTTGGTGAAACTTCACAGCCCAAAAATGATTTGTATACAAGACTACTATATAGGATTCTCAGTTACTGAGTTGTTAATCATCTAGCTTCCCCAGATGGGTGTTTCCTGGTACTCCCCCCCGACTCGACCCACTTATATACTTCATTGTCTTATAAGACACACCCGAATATCACGAGGGAATTAACCTTAAAATCGCTGCTTGATAAACTCGAATTAAGTCTTCCTCATTACTCTTCGATTCGTACGTCCTTGCTGATCTTCTCGTGAAGAACTCTCTTCACATATTTTAACGGTCAAGATGTACTTGAGTATTCTCACTATATATGCAGTCATAACAGGTTTTTCAACCTCTGGAGCGGAAAGAATTCAACTCCCGTACGAGGTACAGGAAACGCTCTTGAACCTGATGACTGTTGATGACCTAGAACACATCAACACCACAGATACTCATTCCATTCGTCTTATTTACCGTAAAGACTTGGACTCGAGCTACACAGCTTATTACGAGATCAAGAATGGAGAGTACTTCCGCGTTCTCTCAGCTGGGCTGAAGACGGGTGAGATTAGAGAAGTGGAATCAGGGCCACTACCATCACCAAGCCAAGTCCTTATCAAACAAGCAGGACGTGTTGGACAGGAATGCAAGACGTTTTATCGGCTAGCACCGGGACTTTATATGTGCGAAAACAAGCAGAATACCGCGGTTGCTGCTACATTCGACTGGGATGCAGATTCACAGGTAGGTTAAGAAAAATACTGGATAGATTTTCAAGCGGCTTTTTGATATTCCAAGAGCAGTTTGGAAGAACCGTAAAAAACTTTTGTGAGCACTATCGGCTACACAGTTTTTCGCGAGGTTATTTGCACGAACAAAAGTGCAGGTTTAACTTTGAACTGAGTGAAGGAACATTGCAAATTGAATTTTCTGTATATGATAATTTTGAAGCAAAAAATTTCGTTTTCGTTTTGCTAAAAATGCAGGTTGAAGACTGGCGAACCCTTCACCAAAAGGTCCAAAAACGTTTGAGTGACTTCAAAGATGCCTGGAAAAATATTGCAGCGTCAGTGAAGGACGAATTGTGGACATCACGACGAGTATCGTCAAAACAAGACCCACGGACAGTTCTCTACGATGCGGAGTTAATCTCGCCTGGATCAACTGCGATAGTACCTCTGGAACGTGACTTCAGCAATGTCACCATCCATGCCATTGGACATCAACGACAAAACCAACTTTGTCAAATTCTAGTCAAAGCTTGCGAGCATGGACAAATGGGAGTGAAATCAGAGCTCATTCACAAACTTAAAAACGGCATCGCCTTCATCAAGATTGAGATTCGAGAAGACAAAAAATTCGTTCGCCAAGTATTGCGCAACCATGAAGTTTCATTTTATGTCAAGATTGAAACCAAAAAAGGCCAACAAGTTTTGAAGTATTTTTCTGTGGACTTGAGCTCACATCGTCAACCTCGTCGGAGCCAGAGAAGGGAATGGTCAATCGATCGGGAGGATCTCTTTCCGGATTACAATCAGCATAAATGCTGTGGTTGTGAAAGTGGTTGTGGACCGGTTGCTTGGGCTCAGATTCTTGCGTATTACGATCGTCTTGCGCACTACAATCCTTCATCAAATTACAGTAAAAACTTCTGGGAGTGTAGCGATGGGACTGCCAATAACTGCACTGCTCCAAAAACCATGAATTCAAACGTGATTAAAGGACAACTGACCCCAAAAATTGCCGTTTTTCATATAAAACTACAACGTACA